GACGCTTACGGGATGAGATCAATTTGATGTTCAATTCCTCAAATTGGTGGCAATCCATTTGGAACATCCTCAGGAAATATATCCTTAAATTCCTACAAAAGAGAAGAAGCAACACTAGAAAAAGGAGTGGTTAGTTCATTAGCGCTCAAATAAGATCCCTTATACAAAAAAAACCACAAGATGCGACCAAGATTTGTAAGCACTCATACACTCTCTGAATTTTGCATGTAGGCTTATTTTGCTCTCTTTTACCTCATCTTCTTTTTTCCCACTAATATTTTTCATTTTCTCTCCCCTCTTTTTTTCTTGCTCACCGGGTCTCACAATTTTCACAAAATCATCTTTTTTTTGTCTCTCATTTATTTTATTCTCTTCTTTTTTCTTATTCTCTCTTTTTTTCTCTTTCTCCTTACTCACACGAGAACCTTTTAACTTCATTTGATCTTCAAAAACTTACTTTGGTTTTAAAGGTGAAAGTGTCACCTTTCTTCCATCCTTTTCAAATGAATATCTATTCTTGTAACCATCATGCATTGCTTTCCTATGAAGATCTCTATAGTAGTGTGAAGGAATAAATCGTTTTCTCATAATAGCCTTCATCTCTTCCCAAGTAGAAACTGGTCTCTCCAAATTTTTCTTTCTATTCACCACTATCTTATCCCACCATGTTGAAGCATAATCGGTGAATTTGGTAATTGCCAATTTGACCTTTTTATCCTCCGAGTAATTATGGCAATCAAAAACCTTCTCAACCTTTCTTTCCTAGTCTAAATAGGCATCCGGATCACTCATCCCTTGAAAGGAAGGGATGTTCATCTTAATACTACCCAAATTCCTATTAACTTCTTCTTCATTCCTAAGTCCCCTTTGTGGTCTTCCTCTTCTTCTATCCCCTCTTTGACCATGTCTTCCCATATCAACATAGTCATTATCACTATCTTCTTCAATGTCATCAAAGTGTTCTTCACCAACCCGTGGTTGTGCACGTGGTTGTTCTTGCCTCCTTTCGTTCTCTGGGACTCTTCTCCTATTTTCATTTTCTTCAGCCTCTCTTGCATATTATCTAATCTCATACTCTTCCTTGAAAATTCTCGTTGCATTTCTTGAATGGCAACCAATATATTTGGATTGGCATTTACACTTCCTGTGCTTTCACCACCATTACCTGTGTGTGACATGTTTATACAAAAAAAAAGTTAGGGCCTCACAACACTCCCTCACGTGTTTACACTCGCTCAATGTCACACAACCCTCGTGTTTGTCCCTCAATAGTTTTGGTCTTTTTTAAAAAAAATCCCTCCACTTAAGCCCTTTACTACTATAGAGTTTTCCTTTGTAGTTCTGCCAAGTAACTAAATCAGGACGACTCCAAAAGAACGTTTCTATTGTAAAATTCCAATATAAAGAGCTCACGTGTTGACAAGAGAAGAAACAATGATGCTGGAAAAAAAAACTAAGGGAACAACAAAATTCAGCAAGAATAGCTGAATACACAAGATTGACTATGTGGATTTAATCATAACTTGAGCTACACGACTAAAATGATTTGATTCAGAGAGGACAAAAAAGATCACAATAGGTAGTATTTAAGTAAAATACTACTTGTTGAATAAGAAGAATAGATGACAAAAAATCCAGAAACAAAAGGCTGCTCTAGATTATAGTATTTTTGGACATTTTTTTTTGTTTTTTTGTCTTTTTATTTTTTTGTTTTTTTAAACAAAGAGCTCAAAACTTGAAAAAATATAAGATAATATAATCAACTAGGCTCTGATACCAAATGATGCGGAACCCAAGATCAGAAGATATATGACATAAATATGGTAGGAAGTGACGTAGGATAATAAGAATTAGTATGGAATTGAAAGATAAAATTACGAAGCTTACAAGGAGATTAGACCCCAAGATTAGAAGCGCAAAAAACTATGGATATATTAAATCCACAACTTCAGGAGCAGTAATCAAGTAACCTAATCTATCACCTAAGTTAGAAGATTACTTAGAAGGAGAAACTATCCTTGAAGTAATCAAAGACAAGTTCTTGGAAGAACTTAAGGAGAACTCTCCTAAACTCTCAAAGAGATAAATATATTTTATGTAACACTCAAAGGTATGATTATTTTACAATAAAAGAGTGATGGCTATTTATAGAGCTATTTCAACTACTCTTTAGCAAACTACAAGTATGAAAACAAATACTAAAATGGTCTTCAATGGTGGCTACATACCATCTTCAACAATGAAGGCCTTAAAATCATCCAAGAAATATTATGGAGGCCTACAAACATAGTCATACCATCTAACTACCTGCTGCACTTTTTAAATGAGTTCACAAGAACAATTCAATTCAATGTTTTCCATCAAGTATGAATGATTGAATCTCTTGTATTGGAAATCTCGGCATATTGGTGCAGTCTTGGTAGAACGTCTATATTTCTGTCTAGGAGTGTTGAAATTGCACAATTCTTGATTCTATGAAAAGAAGACATATTACGCTACACTTTTGATAAGTTTCACAGTTAAATTCATCTTATGATATTCCACAACTAATTTTCAAGTTGACTAATATGATTCTGTCCAGATTTGTACAGCTGTAGCTTATATGGCCATAACTTGATGTAGGAAGCTCCAAATTAAGAAAAGTTTGACTCATTAGAATCTAGACTTCAACATCTTTAATTATGATGAATTTTGTAGTCCAATTTGATCTATACTTGAACAGATTAATATTTAAAATTGGACCAATGTTCGGACAGTTTTGTGAATGTTGGATAGCATTATATATCACTCCTTTGCTCCAATTCTCCCAAAGTATTCACCAAAAGTTGCAAGCCTACAAAATAAAATAAAAATACACTCAAAGTAATATATTCTAAAAATAAAGTACTACAAAATATATTATTAAGAGAGAGGCTAAATAGTCAATCACAAGTTAATTCATCACCATTTTGATTAAGAATCATGATTATCTCCATTTAGGCTCACTTGAGATACGTGTATAAATTTTGAATTCTCATCCACACCTGTGACTTTCGATCTCATATCAAATAGCTTCTTTACCAATCCATGCATTACTTCTTGAGCTTTTCTAGCTTTAGCTCTCGTGATTGGTCAAGATGGTAAATATAGTTCCTTGATTATAATTTCGTCGAGTGTGCTCGTATCATCAAGTATCATCCTAGGTGTGCCAAGCTCAATCTGGTCCAACTTGGTTTTGCAGAATGTCTCTGCCTGTTTTGTAGAGGAGATGTCCAGTCAGTTAAAGCCTTATATGACAAGTTTCAGATGTTCTCCAAAGCCTCAAGACTAATACCTAATCCCAGCAACAGCGCAATCTATTTGGAGAGGTCAGCCTGACAACACAATGGTAGATTATGGATATCCTAAACTTTGCTAGAGGTGAGTTACCCTTCAGATACTTAGGGGTACCCCTAAGAACCAAACTACTATCTATATTATAATGTGAGCCATTAATTGATAAGATGCTGGGGAGAATAAGTTCATGGACAACCAAGTTTCTTTCATATGTTGGTAGAACACAACTGGTCAAGAGTGTGCTGTTTGCCATTCAAACATTCTGGGCACATGTGTTTATCCTCCCAAAGAAACTCATCCAGCTTATTCAAATAATTTGTAGAAGATTTTTATGGACAGGTAATGCTAAATTCTCCAGGAAATCTCAGATAGCTTGGGACAAAATCTGTGCTCCAAAGACAACTGGGGGGCCTAAATTTACTCTATGTCAATTACTGGAATAAAATTGCTATAGGCAAGCTCCTGTGGTATGTATACAAGAGGAAGGAGAAGCTCTAGGTAATTTGGGTCCACACGTACTACATCAAAGGGAGGTCAGATTGGGATATAGATCCTAAAAGTGCATCATGGGTAGTGCAATCAATTTTCAAATCTAGGCACTACTTAGAAGCTGCAGAATATACCTTCACTGAATTTTAACAGATGACGAGCTACTCAATTAAACAGGTCTACCAAAAATGCTAAGGGACTTTCAAAAGGTATCGTGGAGGAAACTCATATGCAACAATCAAGGAGCTGCTAAATGGATCTTCATCTTGCGCTTAACTGTGTGGGGTAGATTGGTTACAAAGGATAGAATTGCTCAATGGGGCATCACCATTGATTTACTATGCCCCTTATGCTCTAGAGCAAATTAGACCATCCAACATCTCTTTTTGGATGTGAGGTGGCCAGGAATATATGGAAGAAACTTTTGATGTGTCAAGGTATAAACAGGAGTAGCTTGCTATGGAATGATGAAGTCCAATGGACACTAAAAATGTGTAAAGGGAGGAGTGCAGGGGCTGGCATCTATCGCATTATTTTGGCTGTAACATTGTACTACTTGTGGCAAGAGAGGAAAGAACCAAATGAAGACAGCAGAAATTACTGTTTGATTGATCATTCAGGAGATCTATTTTCGAGCGAGCGTATCCCCAAGTTGGCTACTTACATACAAGAATTGAATTACTACCTTGTATAGAATGTGAATCCAACAAAATATGAATAGCTTGTAGGTGTGAGGCAGTAGAAGGCTTTACTGAGGCATTAGTCTAATGTTATTTTCTGTGTAGTTATTTGGAGCTGTAAAAACCTCACAATTTTAATATATATAAAATACGATAATTTGACCCCCCAAAAAAGGATATAGAAATCTGTCAACACTATAAGAATAGTTTTACAACAAAATCCGTATCCAACCATAATAATCACATTTATAATTTAAATATCATCTTCAAGAATTTAAGCTTTTCTTTAATTTTAATTTATAACTCAAATACGTTATTTAATAATATTTATGTAATTTAAAAAAAAAAGCTATGCACAAATCCAGCATACAGTCAAATTATATACACATAGGTAATACTCCTTATACTAGAAAATGAAATGCAACTAAACACAATATAAAATATAATGAACAAAATGACCCCTAAAATATACAAAATTTAAATTCGACTCCATGATAAATTCTAAATTATTTGAATCTCTGCAACACCGATATTGGGATATAGATGCGACAGGCACAAGTCAAAACGACGAAAAGGCCCTCGAAATTCTCTAGAATTTCATATTCCTCATCCTACAAACCCTAGATAGGATCTCAACGCGCGATCGATTTCGCTAGCACTTCGATCGTATTCCACTGCGTGATTATCAAATTATTGTCAATTTTTGGTGAAAAATGACAGCTTTATAAGATTTGATCCGACCGAAGTTCGAATTATAGCTGTGGAATGGGCAGAAGTAGAGTATTAGCGGTAATTTTCACATTACTAATCGTTTCAGCAACTTCAAACGCAACATTATTCAATTCCAGGAAGTTAGTTGATTTGGCTCCTACACAAAGCAACAATTCATCTGAACAGGTAAAGTTCCTCTCTTTGCATTTTAATGTATGTCTTTGTGAATTTGTGATATAGATACATCTATATGTGCTGTAAATCGGTTTTTTATATAGAACTATTAGCTAACAATGAATTGTTTAGATTTACGCTTAGTGAATTGGTGATGTAGATACATCTACATGTGCTATAATTTGTTTGTTTTGATGGAAATATTAGCTAAGAAATGACCTTTCTGGATATATATGCTCAGAGGCGGATCTAGGAATTGAACTTTATGGGTTCGAGTTCGAAAATCTATCATTGGCCATTTGATTAACTGTGTTCGAAATCTGTTAGTTGTACTAATTTAGTGAATTTTTAACACGTATAAGAATCTGAGCTAAAACTACTTGGTTCAAATGAACCTGTATCTATTACCATACATCCTTCCCTGTATATGTTAGTGAATAGATGATATAGATACATCTATGTGTATTATAGTTTGTTTTTTTCGATGGAATTATTAGCTAAGAATGATTTTTATCTAGATTTCAGCTTCAAATACTCCAGTTGAGGGTGAAAAGGAAGTTAACGCCAGCAAAGTTAGTGATAAGAAACCTGAAATTGGAAAAGAGAAGCCTGAAAATCCTGAAGGAAGTAATGATCCACCAAAACCTCCGCCGGAGGAACTGAATTCAACTAAAGTCAATGATGGGAGCTCAGTAACTGAAAAACAAAAGCCTAAAGATCCTCAGGTAAGAAACGATGCACCTAAAGATTCAGTGGACCAGAATTCAACTACGGTCAATGATGGGAGTCCGATAGCTGAAAGCGAACAGCCTAAAGATGCTCAAGGAAGCAATGATCCATCAAAACTCGACCCAAAGGAACCAAATTCCACTGTAGTGGATGGTGAGAGCTCTAAAGGTGAAAAAGAGAAGCCTAAGGATCCTCAGCCTCAGGGAAGCACTGACTCACATAAATTGGATCAGGATCGCCCTAAAAGTGATAACAACACGGCTGCTGAAAGCCCTCCACCTGCTGAGAAGAAGGAGACTGAAGAAAAGAAGAACCAAGATGATAAAATAAACTCGGAAGTGAACACTAACGAAAGCTGTCAGGGGGCTACTAAAATGTGCAGGGTTGAACAAACACTGATTGCCTGCATTCAAACTCCCCAGAATGGTAAACCTTTTCGCTCATCAGATCACATGTTTCACTGAATTGGAAATTTGATTGAACTGTTGTGGTGCTGGCAAACCTACCAAGATGTAATGGATTGACAACTGATTACTAACTTTAATATGTTGTAACCTGAAGAATTTAGACTTTAGAGCCTGACAATTTTGCTAATAGAGATATAAGAAGAGCTAGAGTGACATCATATGGATCACCATTATCTAATATTTCAGTAGGGCAGTATTAGAAGCTTGCAACTAACATTGTCCATTGGAGTTGGGTGGTACTTGCTGTAGTTTATTCCCATCAAAAAGGATTCCTCCTATATGTTTGCAATTTTTTGATTTCTTTGTGAAAGACTTTTTTCCGAGAAAAAACGAAATTACATGAAATGTTAGTATTAGGCAATTCATTATCAAGGAAAATGTTAATATTAGGCAGTTAAATGTAGCATTTTATCTAGGATTATTTATTGGAATAACTTAAATGTGACCATTATGGTTCATGAGATCTTAAGATATTGTTCTAATACCTTAAATTTTGAATTCTTGCTGCCTGACTAGGACCATGCTCCCTCATCCTAACCCAGAAGGTTGGTGGTTTTTTTTTTTTTGGGGGGGGGGGGGGGGGGAGGGGGGTGTAAGTAAGAGAAAAAGATCCAAGAGAAAAATGGGAACAAGGGGCAAACATGTGGGCAGTCCGAATATGGATCAGTTGATCTTCATATCTCTGTTTAGATGTCTTCATGAAGAATCGTAGGTCTCCAAGTTCTTTTCAAATAATCGGGCATGTCAAAGTGTTAAAATTATCTAAAAGCTAGTTGTCTAATAATAGTTGTCGAGATCGTCGAGAGAGTTCTTGGTTCTCGGCAATACTTCTTAAGTATGCCAGCATATATGCTTCTATATTGATCACTTGCCATCCAAAAAAAAGAATAATTTTGGTAGAGAAGCACTTGTGATTGGACTGTTGCTTGAGATGTGAATACATGAGCAGATGTAAATGCTGTATTTAATAGGGGTAGGGTAGGAGAAAAGGATTAGTTTGAAACACTTCCCATATAGCATGCCTATGTTCTGTATTGGTGTGGTCTGGAAAAACTTTTTGTCATCTTTTCCTAAGTTGCTCGGACTCTTCATTTTTGGTGTTGCACCCGTGTCGACACGACATGGGTGTGGGATCCGTACTGGATTTGGTCAACCAATTTTGGGTACTTTGACCAAAATCAACGGAGAAATTCGGAACAAATACAATGACTTCTGAAATCAAACTAAAAGCTAGGGTGAAATTGAAGAAAATGGAATACCTTGTATATAGAAATTACTATGTCAGTCCTTTTCCTTTTGTCTCCTTCCCGCATTATCCCCTTGATCAATATTTTCTCCTTCTCGGAATACATTGTAAGTTTTTCACATAGTGTCTCATAATGTAGACATATTTTTATAACTCTATTTTTAGATGTTTATATTATTTTTAGCAGAATCCCCGCACCCGTATCCGTACCTGGATCCGTACCCCCGAATCTTAAAATTTAAATAATGAAGGATCTGACCTCTAGATCCGCACCTGTATCGAACACCCGCACCCGAGTCCGAGCAACTTAGATCCTTTCAAAGGCTTATTATGAGCACTTCATTCTTACTGCTATAATCTTTATGGTATTTATGATGGTGGTTATTGTTGCCACTTGTTTATAATGGAACTTACATCATCTAAACCAAGTTGTATATAAAGGTGCAAAACATCTAGGTAATGATGTCGAAGACTCGAGCTATCGCCCTCGGCTTAGAATATCCATAACCACTCACCTAATGTCATGTTTGTTTCTGCTTAATGGGGATTTTTTAATCTGAATCGGTCAAATCTCAGCCTATTAAGTGCACTTGTTTTTTTTCTCTTAACCACGTATTGTTCTGGATAAATCTAGTTCATTAAGATCTTGTACATAGAAAATCATCAAAGATGTTCACTTAATATTCCCTGCAAAGGTGACCTTTTACTACCACTTTGTTCAGTACTATAGCACAACCACCGCCACCAGCTTACCGCACAACCACCATCACCTAGCACCATTACCATCTTCTCCACTGATGACCGCCACCAGCCACCACCGCACAAATTATCCTGAAATAAGTTGTTGAATATGATCAAATGTCAATTATTATGGTCCCTATCAGAACGTTTGATGAAGTTCGTGAGACATGTTTGTTTGAGTTGTTCATTTCTCCAAGAATGTGCTCTTCTTTGTCTCCTACCTTCTGTAACTTGGTTATAGGCGATAAAGAACAAGGTTTTACCTTAACAGATTTTGGCCCCGCGTTCATCATAAAAATTTATTTCCTCTAATTGCTTTTATACTGGAAAAGTGAGCCTGAAGACATAAATGCATGGGTGAGCAGAGAGAAAGGAACAAGTAATATATCATCAAGAACTTGTAGTTTTTCATCGTACTCTTTGCATCTTCTTGATGCCCTTTAATGAATCTAATTTACTTCATCAAAAAAAGAACTTGTAGTTTTTCATTGCTTTTTGCATTAGACTATATAATTGGTGTCTCTTGTTTTTGTTGCTACCTTGCCATCATAGAGGCACAGACTCTCTTTCTCTCTCTTGTTGTGTAATCATCCTTTCAGCTCTCCCCTCGCTGACCTAGCTAGTAAGCTTTATATTAGTCTTGTCATAGTAAGTGAAAAATATCTTTGATGTCTGATAGCTTTACTTTCTATGATTTAACAGGATCTGCTGGATTGTTCCTTGTGGTGCAAAATGAAGGGGAAAAAAGAGTGAAAGTAAATATCAATATCCAACCTCCTCTGGACAGTTCTCTACAAGCTATTAAACTACCAAAACATCAGTCAGAAAAGGTATGCAGTCTCTTGATGTACTTGCTATTGACTCACCCCCCTCCCCCCCAACCAAAATTCTTTTTCTAAATTAGCAAGACATCTGGGAGTCGATAGAGAAGAATTAACTTGGGCATTTTGCATGAATTTGAACTTCTCCTGCTACATGAACAAAGTGACAAGTGTTTCTTAACTACATGGGAAGTGATGGCAAAAACAACCTTCAGGGAATAATCTGTGTGAGATGCTTGTTTACTTACCTCATAAAATTATATCTGGAGTGAAATTGCGGCCAAATTTTTGGTTGTCCCGTGAATGAATGTGCTATGGTTAACTTATGTGAGGCAGAAAAACTTCAAATCATGTTGAATTATTTTAGCTCCAATTGTTTCTTATTCAATTCTTTTTAAGCAGCTCAAATGAATCATGTGGGAATTCCTGTCACAGTTTTTACTTACAGTTAGTTTTTTGCGCTCTTTATCCAGCTTTACCAGTGGAATACAAGGAATGTGTCACGACCCCAAAATCCACTATAGGTCGTGATGGCGCCTAACGTCGCCGTCAGGCAAGCCAACAGTGATTGATCAACTTAATTACTCACTTTTATTACTTTTGAAATCATAATTTCTATTAATTAAATAGTATAAAATAGAATTTACAGGGTAAAATGATGATATTTACGTGAACTACAATAATGAACAACCAGTAAGAACTCCCAAAACACGGTGTCACAAGTGCATGAGCATCTACTAAGGAGTACAATACAAATACAACATCCGTCTGGAATACAAGTTAGACAGGAGAATATAAATAACTCTGATGGAGACTATGTATGCTACGGATCGTAACATAGAATGCAACTCACCGTAAAGTCCCCGCAATAGCCGCGCCTCTGCACCCAGAGGACCACCGGAAACATATATATACCTGCACAATAAGTGCAGCAAGTGTAGCATGAGCACGTAAATCAACGCGTACCAAGTATCTAGCCTAACCTCAGAGAAGTAGTGACGAGGGGTCGGCACTGACGCTTACTAGTGGTCCAATAAATCAAATACAGTAGGAAGTAAACAAACGTGAGGCAAAGTAAATAAACGAAATAAACAAGTATAAATACGTGGTACAATCCTCCTCTCAACAATAAACTTAAGCTCTTAATTAGCAGTCACCTTCTCAACCGGAGTGTATATACAATGGACCTCACCAGATAGGTCGTCATAAGTCAAATCAGGAAAACTCACAGATACTCTGGCTTCTTGTCAAATATTACGCACGATTCCATAAGAGTATTTTATAGAAATGCCGAGGCGTACGACCCGATCCCATCATACTGTGAGCACTGCTGAGGGTCGAACGACACGAACAATAGGTGCATCTACTATACTGCCGAGGCGAACCGCCCGCTCCCATGAGAGTGGTACATAATCCTGCCGAGGCAAACGACCCGATCCCATTAGAATAAGAAGTTTTAACGGGTCATTGACCCCACTCACGAATAAACGTGTGAATTATGAATTTTTAAGGAAAACCTTTCGATGAAAACGCATAGCGCGGGAGAAATTCGTAAGAGGAGCACAATTATTCCGCGGCTAATCATGAAGCTCGCCAAATCTCTACTTTAGCAAGTCTATCACTCCACGCAAGTCTAGTCTCAAGTCGTAACGTAAAATAAAGGAATTTAATAGGCAAGGGACAACTCAAACAGTACAGTTGTAGCATGGCGGGAACCTAAGTCTACCCGGACAGAACATGAATCTAGCTACGTATGGACTTTCGTCACCTTGTGCGTACGTAGCCCCCGCAACAAGTAGCACATATCAAATACATCACCTAGGGGTAGTTTCCCCCTCACAGAGTTAGACAGGAGACTTACCTCGCTCTAAAGTTCCATAACAGGCTCCAAAACCTCTCTAACGCCTCAAATCGATGCCCGTCGATCCAAAACTAGTCAAACAATGTGCAAACCAATAAAGATATACTCTAATACCTATAATTAATCAATTTATAATAATTCCCACCTCTGCTCGAAAAGTCTATAAAGTCAACCCTCGGGCCCACGCGCCCGAATTCCAAAAGTTTTTGAAGATAAACTTTACCCATAACATTACGAACTCAAATATATGATTTATTTCAAATTCCATGACTAATTTCGTGGTTGAAATCCAAAAATACCAAATTCTAGGTTTTCTACCAAAATCTCACAATTTCTACCAATTTTCATGTTAAAATCCTTATAGAATCCATGTATTTAACTTACAATATGTAGGAATAACTTACCTTGCCATAGATTGAAAATCTCCCCTTGAAGCTCTCCAAAAATCGCCCAAACCAAGAGAGAAATGAGTGAAATGAGCAAAATCCCGATTTTTAAACAATCTGCCCAGTCGATTTTCCGCACCTGCGGAAGCTACCTCGCAGATGCGGCTTCCCCTAAGGTGCCAGCTTTTTCCGCTTCTGCGGACATTCAATCGCAAATGCGCATCCGCTTCTGCGGAAATCCCCCGCATTTGNCGCTACCACACCTCGCCATTCCAAACCACTTCCGCTTCTGCGCTCCTCCGCCCGCATCTGCGAGCCCGCAGATGCGGTAAATTCATCGCACCTGCGAATCCAACCAGCCTCAATCCCAACCGCTTGGCCGCTTCTGCGGTCTCACACCTGCGGTCATAACCTCGCAGGTGCGATCACACCAGAAGCCTTAAGCTTCAGCAATTCCTCCGAGTCCAAACTCGATCCATTTCCAATCCGATTCGCACCCGAGGCCCCCGGGACCCAGTCCAAACATACCGACACATCCCAAAACACGATACGGAATTAGTCGAAGCCTCAAATCACGTCAAACAACATCGAAATTACGAATCGACGGCCAAAACCTTTCATTCAACTTTCCAACCTTCAAACTTCGCCGAACGCGTCCGAATTGCACTTAAACATCCCGGAATGACGCCAAACTTTACGTGCAAGTCACAAATCACGATACGAACCTATTCCAAGGCTCGGAACTCCAAACGGACATCGATTACACCAAAATTCATTTCAAATCGAACTTAAGAAATTCTTAAACTTCCAAAATGCCAACCTTCCATAATAAGCGCCGAAATGCTTCTGGTCCACCCGATACTCAACCTGAATATACGCCCAAGTATGAAATCATCATACGAACCTATTGGAACCTTCAAATCCCGATTCCGAGGTCGTTTACTCACAAGTCAAACCTTAGTCAATTCTTCCAACTTAAAGCTTCCGAAATTAGAATTTTCCTTCCGAATCAACTCCGAACTTCCCGAAATTAAATTCAGACCACGCGTACAAGTCATAAAACATGAAGTGAAGCTACTCAAGCCCTCAAACCGCCAAACGACGCGCTAGAGCTCAAAACGACCGGTCGGGTCGTTACAGAATGTTAGGTAGAATGCCCAATTATTCTTTACTCTCTGTTTTCGTAATATTCTAGTTAGATCATTTTGGTGAGGTCCCTTACCATAACTGAACAGCTCCGGAAGGATCAGTCTTTTCTTAGGATTTACATTACGTACTGCACAAATACCTTTTCCTTTCGCAGCCCATCATGATCATGGTGATATTACAAAACG